TGAGATGGTTTTCAGAAAATTACCTCTTCGGAGGTGTTACTTCTGGACTGCTTTAGAAGATCAAATTTAGCTCAAACAAAAAATTTCTGAAAATTTTGATCTTCACGAATAATTTGTTATTGCAATATTCTCTGATGAAGTTGCATTAAAAAGCTTCGCTTTTTTCAGTCATTTTTTTTAATTTTGAAAGCGCTTTTAGTGACGCGCGAGAAACAGCACAAGGGATTTGTGTTGGTTGAAAATTCTAGCGATCATGGTGCGCTTTCAACAAAAACCTGATTTATGAACCAGAACGGTTTTATTTAGAGAAAGTAATCGGACGCGAATAATCTGTAAATTTTTTTCAGCGCACACAGTTTTTTTTCTTTTTTTTTGGAAGGGACTCACCTCGAAGATATGTATTGTGTGAACTGTTGATGAAGTAGTGTGACAGGGGCTTGTGCATATCCTCTTCCTTGAGCATCATATGATCGGCATGCATAGCAATGTTATAAGGGCTTAACAGGAATCGCAGGAACGCATGCTTTGTGAGCCGTTCACCTATAATTCGAAACTCTTTTGCGTCTCCTAGTGCTGCAGCTGTAATACTATGAAATGAAAAAACGAAATCCAGTTACTTCTCCCAAGTTCATTTATCAAGGACTGCGCGATTTCTGGCGTTGGCGCGGGATACAGAAGCTCGTTGAGTCGAGGATCATAATGCTCATCCTTGAGATATTTCGCGAAACTCTCTGCCTTCACTTCTTTCGCTTCAAACCTTCAATATTTATGAGTTTTCAAACACAGCATGCTTCCAGGATTTTTGGTGTTGTGCTTTTTGTGGACGCTGTTTAAAGCAAAAAATCAGGTATGGCTTCGGAAAAATCGGTTACCCCCTTAAAATTAATCCTTTTTTGACTCATATACGACGCTTCCGGTTTTTATTTTTCTCTACAGAGAACTTCAGCTGCAGAAATGCTTATTAAATCTCATATCCACTTTCCTGCTTCAAGCAATTCTTTGTGCTTTTCTTCCTGCCCACTCATCAGACATGTTAGTGAGGTAAATCTGGAGCAAAGTTCAAAACGGACTTCTCGCTGAATATGTAGTCCACGTCTGATCGCTCACAAATGCAGCAGTAGCAGGAAAATATGAAATTATCGCTTATTTCGTGCATCATAACTGTTTCCTGAATCAGTTACAACCGGTCAGGATCGCTCATCATCAGCGGCAATAAAAAAAAAAATTTGCTATTTTTGACTGTAAGGCTACCTTCGCGTTTGACAGTAGTGAGGCTTTAGACCCAGGGGGATTTAGGAGCATAATCTCTTCTCTTATCCTCTGTTATTTTTAATTTTTACAATTTACATATTACCTTATCCGCGAATGCTGGTAGCGTTTTCAGAGCTCTTTCCACATCCTTTCGATCTTCCTTATTTTTTGTCGGCAACAATGAATCCAATATTCTGCAATCGGATAAGAATGCATTAAGAGCTAGCAAAAAACAAAGCTGTTGTAACTGGTTTTGAAGATCAATCCTAGATAACGAGATTTTCTATATCCGAATTTGCATTATTTTTCCAATTTTTTTTGATTTTTAGAGTTGCACTGATAATATTTCGCAGACTGCCGAAACATTGAATTTATAACGTAACGCTGCAGTGTTAAGGCTTGCGCAATTATTGTTGTTCAAGGTGATCTGCTTCAGTTTCTTGTCATTTAGTTTTTATCATAACTTTCTGTTCGATTTAGTAATCATCATGAGGTGCGAGGAGAAATCATTCATTTTTTGTTTTAATTGTTGTAATTTATTATTGCGATCTTCTTTCTCTTACTCCGTAAAGTATATGAAATCATTGAAATTTGGGAATGGCAACATTCAGTGCAAACTTGGTGATGCTCAGTACGCACTAAAAACTTTTCTAATCAACCAAAGCCTTTCCAAAACGAATGTTTTGGGAGAAACGCTGAAATGGAACTTCTTCAAGAGATGAAAGGAACGCCAGGCTTACCGGGAGTGGTTAAAAGAACTGTCAAGGTTACTAGCCTTATAGATAAAAAACGAGCTTATGAATGGGAGCTGATCAAAATATCAAGTAATGCCCTGTTTCTTCTAAATCTTACAATCACTGTGCCTTCATGTCGCTGCAATTTTTTATTATTAGCAAAATTGTTTTTACAAGCAAGCTGATTTATGTACATGTGTGGACTGCCAAGATTTCTTTGATGTTAGCAGGCGAAGTGTTGCAGCAAACTCTGAGCTGAT